AATTAAATAGCGGTTAGAGATTTTGTTAAATTAAAAATTAATGTTTTTATTCAATAAATCTTTGTAATTATTTTCATTACTCCAATTAAGTTATGATATAATTTATAAATATATTATAAATAACAAAAACTCTCTCTCTCCTCACTTTGAGAGAGAAATTTCAACTTCAACCATTTATTCTTATAGCTTGTCCTATCAACTTCTTTAATTTGGTATAAAATTAACATATACTTAATATTTAAGGAAAATCTTGCATCAGAAAATGTGAATTCCACTTCTTCTTTTTTTTTTTTTGGCTAAACATGGGGGAAATTTGGGAGAAGAAGGAATTTCTCAAGTCATTGGTGGGTATAGAACTCCTAATCACTTGAACCCAAACTCTTAAATTTAGTGGTGAACCATTAAACTCCTTGAGTTAATTCATGAATTTCACTTATTTCTTCATGTGAAATTCATGAAACCTAATTTATAATTACCATATATGTATGTTTTATATGAGGAATTAAAAAAATGCTAAAAATACTCAACATAAGAACTTTGTAGAAGATGTTTCAAAAACCACTTACCAAATAAAAGTACCAAATCAATAACTTTGTAGAAGTTAAGGGGGCAAAACTATGGGGGTTTAATTTAATGTTCATTATTGCAAGGGCGCGGTACAATAAAGTGCCAGGAAAGATGGAGATCAAATTTCCTTATTTCCTTACTCTTCCCGCAAGCGAACAAAACCAACAAATACGAAAACTGTAGTTAAAGCAAATAATGAAGGACAAATTGGTCATAACATAATTTAGCAATGTACCGTGTCATGCTGTTTTTATTTTCTTGAACGGAACAACCAAAAGCTGGGGTGTAACGAGGGATGGGTCCTCTGAAACTGAAAGCGAATGCCGTCCGCAATTACACGCCTACTATTCGCTGCTGCCTGAGTCGGAGATAGTATTTTCATTTTCATTTTCATTTTCCCGATCTATACTTTTCCCTTTTTTTAGATCTCTGGTTATTCTTCTCGCCTCTCCGTCAAGACGTCAACGCATCTGGTTTTTTTCCTTCATTTTCCCGAGGAAATTATGTCAGACGCTCTGATCAATGGGCTGGCCGGCGCTGGCGGAGGGATCATAGCTCAGCTCATCACCTATCCTCTTCAAACTGTACGATTCATCATCATCTTCGTTGTTCCTTTTAGCTTGGTTTTTGTTTTTCTTAGGAGAGCGAATTGATGTTTTCTTTTGATTGTTGATCTGCAGGTGAATACTCGTCAACAGACAGAGCGAGATCTCAAGAAGGAGAAGAGGAAACTTGGAACCATCGAAGAAATGCTTCGGGTCCTTTTTCTTTTCTTCCTTCTGTTTTTTTTAGTTAATTACCCTGATTTTTTTTTTTTAATATTAGGAGGTGGATTTTTTTTAATTAGTTAATTAATTTGTGATGCAGTGCAGGGAGTAAACTGAAAAAGCAACTTTTAGTTAGGTTGAGAAAATGTAATTGATATATATATATATAGGTATTTTCTATTTTCTATTTTCATTTGTTTGATCTTGTTCTTAATATTAGTGGTTTGTGTTATTCATAGGTTGTAAAACATGAAGGATGGGAACGTTTGTATGGAGGGTTAACACCGTCTTTAGTCGGTACAGCTGCATCTCAGGTGAGACCTTATTTTCCTGTTATTTAGTGTGAGTTGAAATCTGCTTTTGTAGGTTATGATTTAAGTTAGATTTTTGTTGAAACTAGAAAGATTTGGCGGTGTGCACTGTGCTTACAGATGCCAGCAATGCTTATCTTGTTGCTACTGCCTTTGAATTATAATTATCGTGGAGGAATGACTACTGAAGTCATAGACAAGGGAATTGTGACTTCCAATGGAAATGGCATGTGGTCCCATAGATAGAAATGATAGATGCCTGCCGCCTGCTGTTGTTTCTGCAACATTTGTTTCTATTACTTCTTGAAACTTGCAAAGGTTATTATAGAAACTACATGCAATCCAAACTGAAATTAATTTTAAGATTATCGTGTGAGTTAAATCATGCATGTTTAGTTGTATTGAGTTAAGATAGGTAACATGAAACCAACTCACTTATCAGACTACAGTGGTCTTTTCATGCCATATTAATCTTTTTAAAAAAAATTTGGGGTTGAATAAGGTGACGACAATAACCTGTAGTTCTGACTCTGTTTGGCAAATATCTTTTGGAGAGAAAAGACATGCAAAATAAACATTCTGTTTATACCTCAATATTCTTGGTACTTTATTTTTCATAATGGTTGGGTAATGAAAAAGGTTTGAATGGTTGTGGCTTGCATAAAGTGGCTTTTTATCGAGATAAAATGACAGTATAAATTTATGTGATTCTATTTTTGTTATTCCTTGTTTTTCCCCTTAACTCACTGGTTTCATGATACAGGGTGTTTACTATTATTTCTATCAAATATTCAGGAACAAAGCTGAAGCAACTGCCCTTGAACGCAAGAGAAGAGGGATTGGTGATGGATCGGTCGGGATGTTTTCCTCACTTGTTGTGGCTGCTTTGGCAGGGTATATTTACATTGTCTATAGAGTCTAGTGATTTCAAATTTTTCTGTAATTTTGAACTTCTATTATGGTTTATTGCCTTTATGGGCCATGTGGCGATCATAGTTTCATGGTAGATGCATGCTAGCCAATTAAGACTGGGGCCATTAACCTTTGATGTGATTAATGTGTAAATTTATCTTTTTTACTTGAACTTCAATGCTCTGCTGTGAACAGTTCTTTCCAAATCTCTGTATAAGAAATTCCTTACTCTCTGTTTGTCTCACTTCCCACTCAGAATGTCTTTTGCTTTGCTCTTTCTCATTTACATTATGTGATATATGCTTGATCCTTTCATTCTGTAGGTGTGTAAATGTGCTGTTGACAAACCCCATTTGGGTGGTTGTTACCAGGATGCAGGTTAGAAGCTGATTCACATTTCAGAATTTTTGTGATTTTCTGGAAAATAGAAAGAAATGCAACTATGTGTATCTCTCTCTCTCTCTCTCTCTCTCTCTCTATATATATATATATATATATAGATAGATAGATATAGATATAGATATATGCAATTGGAAGTCCAAGGAGAAATCTTTCCATAAACCTGAAATATTTTTGGAAATAAGAGTTTACATATTTGCTCACTTTAAGTTTAATAAAAAAGTTCTTATTGTGCAGACTCATACAAAAATCTCAAAGAAATCCTTGTCTAATCAGCCACTACCAGCTCCGGATGAAACAGTTCTTTCCATAGTTGAGCCTCTTCCTTATGGGACCAGCCATGTGGTATGTGAAATTTCTGTTCCTATTTGGGTCATGTTGTTCTTACTGAAAAAATTGAAGTTATTATCACTACTTATTCTGAGGCTAAATGTGCAGATTTGAACTCTGAATGGAATAACAAAGGCTGTCAATTATGCTGCATTTAATTGATATATAATGCTCAATCTATGTTGTAAAGTAGCTTGGGTAATGATACAATAGATAGATTTCTTCATATCTGGTCCAAGATCTGTGTATGTCATTCTGATTGTTGAACCAAATGATTTGATCTTCATTTCAAATGAATGGTAATTCAGATATATATAAGCACACATCTTGCTTTTATTTTCTCTGGGTTAACATAAACTGATTTTACAATTAAAAAAAAGAAGAAGAAGATGATTTCCCACAATTATTGAAGGGGTAGGGGTCCAAAAAATAAAAAATAAACTGATGACTTATGTGGAGTAATTGTTCACCAATGTTCCTTAAGCTTGTTCGAAAATAGTAACTTGGGGTTGAAATAGGATCAGTATCAGCAACTAATCATCTTGAAAAAAATGTTCTCATTGTTTGTTAAGGGCTTCATCTGATGGTATTTATTTGATAAAAATAGAAGACTTGTATGCTAAGAATATTTCAAGATTCTGGGTAATTTTTTTTTCCTGTTTAAGTTTATTTATAACCATAGGCTTCTTTGAAAGTTAGTGTTCCTACATTGTTGATCTAAACAAACACACAAGTCTTTCTGGCATTTTTGACATGTTAAATGTTTACAGATTCAAGAAGTCTATGATGAAGCTGGATTTTGGGGCTTTTGGAAAGGTGTAGTACCAACATTGATAATGGTAGGTAACAAGTGACTGCTGTGTGTGCTAAGGGAGGGAGTGTCATTGATTATTCATCTTTGATGCTTGCAGGTGAGCAATCCTTCCATACAATTTATGCTGTATGAAACAATGTTGAAGAAGTTGAAGAAAAAACGTTCCCTCCATAAACAGGGTAACAATGGAGTGACTGCTTTAGAGGTTAGCCTCAGTTCTTGTTTTGAAGATTACCATTTTTGCTACTAGTTATATTTTCATTTTTATTGCTTGAATATTGTGTTCTTCTCCTATGGGTACATTTTCCTTTTCTAATTTTGATAGCTGAATAAGTTTCCTAATTTGGCTAGATATTTCTTCTGGGAGCTTTGGCAAAACTTGGAGCCACTGTTGTGACGTATCCACTTCTTGTTGTAAAGGTATGCCCTGTTGAATTGTAATCTTAAAAAGGCAACTTATCCACCCACCAACTGCCCCCCCTTCCCTCCCAACATAACCCTTCTAGATCTGGCTGGAAGAATATTGCTTGACTTACCGGTGGAATAGAAAACTCCTGATGAGATTTAGCTGGTATAGGGAGGAAATTTTGAAAATATAGTATGGCAAAGGAGTTAAAAACAAAATATTCTCCTTCCAAAATTAATGATAAGTTAACCTTGCATTTGCCATTAGAAAAATATCTGAGAGTCTTAAATTGTCGATAATTTTGTTTGTGTGACTGGTTTGAAATGATCTTCAATTGAAGTGTGTGACTGGTTTTAATCCCTAAATGATTACTTTTCCTTTGCAGGCGAGACTACAAGCAAAACAAATTACAACCGGTGACAAAAGGCATCATTACAAAGGTATGAATCGTTATGACAAATCCTCTCATGAACTCTAGTGCCAACGCCAATTGTTCTTGGTCTACACTATTGAAGAGACTTCTGATGGAAACCTGTTAACTGTAACCTCTAGAGATAACTGCCCTGAGATGGCTTGATACACGTATGCAGACCTTTTACTTTAATACCGATCCATGTTCTGATGTTTCATTGTCATATATGTTTCAATACAGGGACATCAGATGCTATCCTCAAGATGACCCGTTATGAAGGTTTCTCTGGCTTCTATAAAGGCATGAGCACAAAAATTGTACAAAGTGTTCTTGCTGCGGCTGTTTTATTCATGGTGAAGGAGGAACTGGTCAAGGGTGCTCGGGTTTTACTCACCCCAAATACCGTGAAATCAAAGCCTCCTTGACTCGAGCTTTCTCCTTTCTCACTCATCATTCTTATTTCAACAATGGTGGGGTGTAGCTTAGTGAAAGCATATTCGAATTGGATTCCAGAAACAGGTTTCTGGCTTTCTGCCCTAAAATAATAGGGACATAATATAAAGATTTATCATGAAAAAAAAATGATAGCAATGGCTCATTACTTTCAACTCGGATTTTCAGTCTGGACTGGTATCATGAAAATAAAATGATGGCACTTATTACGTCCGGAACCTAGATCTTCAGTGCTTATTTTAATGCTAGTCTTGGCAATTAACTAGTTTGGACTGGAAAGCACATTGTTATATTACCCTTTAAGAATTTTCTTATGCACAAATATATGTGACAGTGAATGCTTTGAATCGGGCTGTGTCCCCCAATGGTTCATCCTTCAAGCCTGATTAATTTGTCAAGGAAATGATGTGCCACATCAACTTCGAAGGTGTTGAAATTGATAGTTTCAGAACCATTCTGATATACGGGAAAGCTCAGAGACTAAACTAGTTTAAAATTCAAAATTTAAGGACTACTTTGAAATTTTGACCCTAACCTCTGATATCTCTATCACCTCCAACCTGTTCCCTAGTTTGACGAAATTAATAATTTAAACGGATGCCCAAATTTTTCCGTTCCTTTCATCCCCAACCCTAACCCTAAAAAAGCCAAACCTAACCCTAAAAAAACCTGATAAAAAGAATTGCCCTATGGGCCATTAAATAATTCACCCAGATATTTCTTTAGTCTAATAACCATCGTCCCCTCCACCAAACTCGCCTCCCATGTGGGTTACGGCTGACGTGGCACCGCCATAACGTCAGATTGAGTTAGCGCCCACGACTTCTAGACCCACGGGGTGGAAGCTGAAATGGCTTTTTGTCTGTTAATAACAATAATATTATAATTATAAATATTATAATGTTATATAA